TGTTTCCATTTCCAAGTTGCTACTGATATGATGTGCTGTGATTGTGATGTTGCTCATTGTAGCCCAGTAACTTTGCCATTGGTTGTTATAGCTAACTCAGTGACATCAATCCTGTGCGGCGGAATGGGGCAAAACTATTTTGGAAAGCTTGTGAACCCCCAGCACTTTGACATGAGTCATACAGTTTACAAGTTAATTTTCCCAAATAGTAAGGAAATCTATGTGAAAAATTGTCAAATGGTAATAAATGGTAATAGCAACTTGGGCTCCATTTGTCATTGAAACTGAAATAGCTTTCTGATTTAGGCGTGTAATAGATCTTGTCATACAATATCTTGCAATATTGACATGTTGCAATATTTCTTGATGAGGTGACTTCTATCTCACTAGCCATTTGTGATCATCATGGCTTCGGAAATTGATTCTTTGACCCAACTACACTGAAATGATTTGTAAGAACATTGAATATTGCCCCGCTAAAACAACAGATGACTGGATGTATATGCTGTGATTGTGAGGTACGTCACATCACAGCGTTCTGAACAGAAACTGAGAAATGTTAAATGTTATGCTGCAGATAAGCACAATTGAAGCAGTGGTGCCCAAAGTCGGTCCTCGAGGGCCGGCATCCTGCACGTTTTAGTTGTCTCCCTGGTGGTAGTAACGACCTTTTCATCATATCAGTGTTCCTCTTAGGCCTTCTAATGAGCCATCATTTGATGCAGGTGCGTTAAACCAGGGAGAGAACTATAACATGCAGGATGCCGGCCCTCGAGGACCGACTTTGGGCACCGCTGGTACAGAGATAAAAAGAAATCAGGAAAAAAACAATAGTTTGTGGAGTTTGTTGCAAAAGTTCTAAAAATGCAGAATATAGGCTCTCTTGTAGCATAAATTTGGTCTTTGAAGATATATGTTGTTTTATTTACTTCAAATGTTTTTCACTGTTTTTACCTGTTTCACCTGCATGAATATCACGAAGAAGGCAAACATCAAGATTCCACCATTTACCTATGGCGTTATTCACAATTGAAAGAGGGGATTTTAAAAGCACTGCTGGCTTGTTTTGTGGTTCAGAAAAGTTTAGTTTAAGAAGATGAAAGACAGACTGGATATGCTAGAAGATGAGAGACAGAAGAAATTGGGTTGCCTTGTTTTAGGCATTATCCGGTGGGAGTTTGTTCCTGAGTGGAAACGTATCAACTGTCAGTCAAGAAATAAAAACGTGTTTGGTCTGCACAGAACAGACACTTTTATTAAAAATGGCTGATGTTTAATACTGGGTAAATGTTTGCATCACTGTATGACTTCAGCAAGTTCAAGTCGTGCGTATATCAACTAAATCAGAGACTTAAGAGATTAATGTCCTTTGTTACCAACTCCTTCAGTGTGACCTGCTGTACTCTCCAGCGTGAGAGCTATTTTTCAGCCTCTGATGCACCATGTTGCTGGGTGATTAGAGTGTGATTGGCACTTGGATCAGAAATAGATCTTGAAGCCACAGAGAACATCACACCCTGGCACTGGAGGTGGGAGAGCCAAGTTTAATTAGTGAGAAAATACCCACGTAAAACCAACCTGACAAGCCTACATGCAAATCTGCACAAAGTATCATGAACTTTTCTCCTGAAACCTGGTACATCTTCCATCTGCCCACCACACATGCAGATTTACCACACAGTCACGCATCATCATTGTCACAGTTACTTAAGTGTCAGATCAGGAGTCTTAAAGTCTAATTGCTGAAGTCAGATAATGCATGTGAAAGAAAAACAAGAGAGAGTCGGTGTGTTTATATGTATTTAAGGTGTGAGTCAGACTCTAAGGAATAGAACATTGCCAGATTTTCTGCAGCAGCAAACAAATTAACCTTTAGATAAGTTTTGAAGATATTAACTTTGTTTAGTTGAAGAACTGCGGTGTGTTCAAGTGTGCTTTAACGCAACTGATTTTCAAGTGTAGTTGCTCTACAAAATCTTAAGTACCTGTCTTTTATTACATTTTGTCCTGCTGCAAATATAAATTGCACGTTTTTGAGATTGCATATGATAGAAAAACACAAAGTGGTGCAGAATTATGACGAGGGAGAAAAATAAAATGTTCTTTTTTTTTTTCAAACAGATCAACTGTATTTCTTTATGTTGTTGTTATTTAATTTCAACTAGCGCACCCTCACAATGAAACACGACGGTGGCAGCATGATGCTATGGGGATGATTTTGTCTTCAGCATGAAGTGGGAGAGGTTAATTAGAGGTCATGGGAACATGGATGGAGTTAAAGTTTAACTAACACCGCAGTGGAGGGGCACGGCCGAGTGAGGGGATGAGCAAAAGAAGCACTTCTGCTTACTTATAAACTTTGTCACTATATTTAGAAACTTTACCAACAAGTGATAAATGAATCTTCTTTTTCCTGTGTTGATAAGAGACTTATCACACAGAAACATAAAGATGAAACATAAAGATAGAACCCTAAACAGCCTATTTAGACGGTTTATCAGCAAAAAATTGATTTGGAGGTTAGTTACACTTTAAATGCTGGATGGTTAAGGAAAAAAACCAACTAAAGTGAAAAGAGACTCTCCTTCAAGCAGGACAACAACTTGAAACACACATCCAGAGGTAGAAAGGAATGGTTTAAATCAAAGTATATTAATATGCTAGAAGGACCTTGTCAAAGTCCGGACGCAAATCCATTTAAAAATTTGTGAAAAGAATTAAAAATCCATCTTCAAATATTATTATCTAATGTGACTGAGCTTGAATTTGTCTGCAAGGAAAAATTATGGCGTCACATTCCTGCCAAAAACCTTAAGGAGCGCATTAAGCAATCACGATACTAATCAAGAGAGCACATAGCTCTTATCGTGGCCACATTTATTAACCGAGAACACATAGGTCTGGCCAAGTCCAGTCCTGGCTGTCACCGCATTTGAGCGGAAAATCCAGCCACTCAGATAAATCAGAAGAATCACTGCCCCCAAATGACAAATACGGCCACTAAACAGAGAGTGCAATTTTCTGGCTAGAGTGAACAGATGGTTGGAGGGAACATATTTTACTGCTTGATGAGCTGTGTTCAATGACCCACGAATTAAGAGAAATCAGGTCTTGATCACAACTATGTGCTTTCTTGATTAATATATCCACTGTTGTAATTGTTTATGTCCAAAATAGATGAGACCATTCCTTATTTTCATTCATAATATGATTAAAAGATAAAGTATTAGCATCTGGAAAAATGACAAGAAATTAAAAAAATAAAATATATCTGGTAGCTTGAATAGTGGCGTGGTTTTACTCTAAGCTGGAACTAAATAGTTTTTAATAAAGTATTTTCCATTAAAACCAACAAAGGCAGTCTGAAAAAAAAAATTTGGGAATATAAAATAATATATACTTTCATTTCTCATTTATCTAGGGGTCAATAATACGACTTTGTAGCAACAGCCAAAAGGTGCCGTATAAATATCTTTGCACAGTTTCTTCTCTTGAACTCTTTGTCTTCTTTTTGATATGATCATAAATAAATTCATACCACTGATGGTTAAAGTCACAAGGAACACCCAGAGGAACTGCAGCTGTAGTTTTATAAGGATTACATTTTTACCTTTTATTATGCTAACAATTGTGATATTACTGACAATAGTGGCTGCAGTTGATGCGCCTCACTCTTTTCTTTGTCTCACTCTTGAGGAGGCTTTGAGTCTTGGACAATGCCACCTATAACAGAGGTGATCATAGAGAGAAGTGAGAGTACCCAACTGGCCAATATGACAATAGTACGCAGAAAGTGAATGCATTACATTTAGATAGTACCAAAAATGTTGTGGCCTACAAATATAGCTCCCAAGCAATCCATTATGATATATATTTTTTTTTAATTTGTACACATGCACTGATTTCTTGATTGAAGTTCTATATGTTGTGCAGCTCTAGCTTATGACCCAAACAACACCCAAGCAGTCCTGGCATGACACAGATTATGTGGAGCATAAAATAACCTTTCTGCTTGCAACAGCAACATGTGTGTTAACCAAAATGACTTTTGTAAGCTGTGCTGAATTCCCTTTAGACATTAGTGAGTGAAATTCTCTGATACATAAGCACTTTCATGACTGAGGGGAGCCTCACATTGAAGCGTCTGATCAACAGAGTGTAAAATTTCCTTTACAAACAAATTCATCTTCATCACGCATGCCCACATACACTGACACGTCCACCAAAGCACACAGCTGTATAACTGTAGTATGACATGTTGTTTCTCGCACCAACTGCAACTTTAGGTGCTTATAATTTGGATGAACGTGTCAGAGAATCAGAGTATAATCAGAATAGCTACGATGAGAAGAAAAATACACTAAGAGAGGAAATTGAGTGGTGGGACAGGAGTAAAATTTAGGCAAAGTTTGCAGCAAAGCGGTAGATGAGAAGGCGGAAGCTTCATCATCATCTCTCAGGGGTGCTTGCTGCGGCACCTTGATTACGGATTCAGCTCTCTTGCAGAAAAAAACCCACACAGCAGTCAGAAAATATCGCCCTGTCAGCCCAGTTCAGCACAAATCCTGACCTTCTGACAGACAGTGTGTGTGTTTGCGTGTTTGGGAGGGTGCATGTGAGAGTTTTTGGGTAATTATAAGAACACAGTTTTGTGGGCAATTGATTTTTAGAAGAGTGAAGTATATTTGTATCAGAAAACACATGACAGATAATCTTCTTAAAGCTCCCAATAAGTCTCTTAGCAAGGACACACTGTTCATTGAGGTTAATTTAAAACTTATTTTCTGGTTTCTGTAGAAGATTAGCATACAGAGAGTAAGTGTAATGTTTAAGTACTGAAATCACAGCCATTATTGTTTTTATGTATCACGTATTCTTTGTCGCTACATTTATTTATTTTTTTGCATGTTTTAGTTTTCTCTGCTGATGTTTGCCGACATCCAATATTTCGTTTCTGTGTTTGTAAAATGGATGAACTTACCAGTTGTAACCACTAACAGACAGCAATCGCCCTGCCACAGACTTGTACCACAAGGACGAAAACATCACAGTGACTCCAGCGGGTGGCGTCATCTTCAGCCCAAACTACCCCAAAGCTTATCCCCGCAACCTGCGTCTGTCATGGAAACTGCTAGCGCCACCTGGGAACCTCATCCACCTTCAGTTTGATGAACAGTTCCACCTGGAGGAGCCTGCGAATGGAAAGTGCAGGTAAAACACAAGATTAAAGAAGATAGAGAGAACAGACGGAGATGGCGGGGATGGAATTCAGATTATATGATTACGGCAGATAATATGGAAAGACAAAGAGTAAGACATAATGTACCCTTAGAGAGACAAAAGGAGAGAAAGGCAAAGGAAGATTGAGATACTGAGGACAAACAGGAGGGAGCACCGGTGCATAACGGGCATGTGTAATGGAGAAAAGTTGTCTGAAAGACGAAAGTGATTAAAAAGTTTGAGGCTGAGTAATGGAGAGAGTGGCTTAAAGTAACACATCAAGGACAAGTAAAAATCTACTCTGCATAAAATGTCAATCTAAAAGTTGAAGCTCTTTCCACGTTTGGATTATTTCCCTGTGTGATTGTAATACCACTCCAATGAACGTTCTTCATTGATAGGATGTGACAAATGTTTAGAGGGAAATTTTCCTATTTTTGGCAAAACCTTAAAGAGTTTGATGGTTGAACAAAAACATGTTTAATCCCAAAATGTAACTCAGCTGTCAGTGTAAGCGCCATAACGAAAGACAATCATCCAGTCATAGTAAGAGAGGAGAAGAAAACATCTAAGGCTCAGAAAAGGAGAAAAACTGTGTTGCTGAGTACTTTGGATTTTGATTTAACATTAGATATAACTACGGTGTACATAAAAGCGAGTGAGTTTTAGTTTCTTTTCATCGTTTTGTGTTTTGGCTTGATGGCTTGAAAAATGCCTGTAAAGTTGTCAGATTACTGTCAAATTTAGGAGGTATATTTTTAATGTCCAGAAATTTTTTTAAAACAACAAACTCAAATAGGATTCTCATACGATTCAGTTTGACTTTGGCATCTAATCTAAAATAGACAGAAGATTTTAGTGTTAGCTACAGATGTCTCCTGAACTTTAGTCCATTACACAAAACAATTTGAAGAGCACACAAAAGCTGGGTCTGTAGTTGGTGTTTTAGTCCACCAACTAAAGAAACAATATATGTATTTTTTTGTAGATTTGTGGCCAGATGCTGCAGGGAGCAAACATGATCTAGAGATGTGTCCTCAGCAGGAAATTGTCCAGTAGTTGAAACTAGAGCTTTAAGTCCAATATACTAGTGATTTACTTGTATCTTCTTGGCTACTTTCCAGCTTATCTGTAAAAAAAAAATGCCTTGAAAAAAAGTATTTATACTACTTGAACTTTAATTTTTGAAATACCTCAGCCCACTAAACGGTATTTTTTTAAATCAAATGTTTTAAGTAGGAGTTGTGGTCTGAGCTTCCAAGTAAAAAAAGGAAAATGTTCACCTTACCATTAATAACAGCATTTTTCATCTAGTAGAGGTAAAAACATTGTGTGTTTCTCTGTCAACACATGATGTATTCAGCAGCTTTAGTCTAATGTAAAACCGTTTGTAATTCGTACTTTTTCTCATGGAAGGGAGAAAAAGTTACTTTCATTGTTCGTCGCTCAGGTTGGCCGGCAGGTTTCTGTTTGTGACGTCATTGCAAACCCCCTTTTCAGAATGAGTCACATTAATTAAACTTTGGCTGGCTTTAGGGTCTGCAGAGTTCCTGCACCAGTGACAACGATATGAAATGATGTGCTGGACTTCCTTGTCCAAACGCAGCAGTTTCTTTACTAACACAATAATTCAACAAGTGTTTATGCAGCTTTGAGAGCACAATAAAATTGGCCCTGTAGTTTCACACCAATATTTCACATTCATGATGTGGTACTTTGACTTATAAGAACTGACATTACACCACACAAACCCAGCCAGTATAAAAACAACCAACCAGTTAAAATTGGAAATACTTAACTTGTTTTTAAGTTGTCATGTGTTACAATATTATATCTGCATTCCCTTTAAATGATGAATGAATAAAATCTTTAACATAATCATAACTATAATCTTGGCGATAGATTTTATTATGTCTGCTGTCTGTAGCAGCATTTTTGGTCTTTCACTAACATCTCCGTGGGCTGCATTTGATCCACTCTGGTCTGTTTCTATCAGGCATGATCAGGCATAACATTACGACCACCTGGCCCCTGAATGTTTGCTTTGGCATCTTGATGTTAGCAATGGGCCCTAAAAGCTCCTAAAGTTGTGATTTGGGACCCTCATGGATCAGACCTTCACTGGATTAAGATTTCCTGAATTTTGAGGCCAATTTAACTTCTCAAGTTTGTTTTGCTTTTCAAAGCAGTTGTGAATCATTTTTGCTTTGTGGCACGCCACAATTATAGCGGAATGTCGTTCCCATGAATAGGTGTACATGGTCTGCAACAGCGCTAAGGTAGGTGGTACGTGTCAAGATCGCATCCTCCTGAACTGGATGACATAAAGTTTCCTGGCAGAACGTTGCCCAAAGCATAACTCTGCCTTTCTTCCCAAGTAAATCTCTGTGCTATTTGTTCTCCAGGTCAGCAATGCACAACCCTCCGGCCAAACACATGATGTAAAAGAAACGGTGATTCATCACACCAAGCCACCTTTTCCCTTTGCTTTGGGCTCCAGTTTTGACTGTGATGCACCGTGCATTATGGGACTTTTCCAGCAGAACCACCTTAGTGTTGTTAAGACATTGTCTTAATGTAATGCCATGGAGGTCTTTATATATTTATAAATGCATCATTTCAGGATTAATTATCACATCTTGTACTATGTTTTCAGTCAAACAATTTCAATTAATGTAGTAAATCATCGTTCTGTGCATAAACACAGCTACTGGTCTTTTCTTTTGTTTTCTTTATCTTATAGCCTTTTTCCATCTGCTGCCATGAATTGATCTGTTCATACATTTTTGTCTTTGCTTTTTTTTTTCTTTTTTTTTTTGTTATTTCAGTTATGACTTTGTTGAAGTGGAGGAAAAATCACAGACCAACACTATAAACTGGGGCCGTTGGTGTGGGCAGAAAGCACCGTCCAGTCTGACTTCAAAATCCAACATGCTCAGAATCATCTTCAATTCGGACGATTACTTTGTGGCAAAGCCGGGATTCAAAATCTACTACTCACTGCTGGTAAGGAAGCCTCACATGTTACAGCTGCGATTATTAGAGACAGCACAAATATGTTTTTAATTTAACATGTTTGTCTTTAAGCACTTACGACTGGATTTAACAGTAAACAAAACGATGAAATGAAGTGCTGCAGAGGTCACAGCAAAGCTTTCTGTAAAATACCAAGCTGTAGCATGTAGCCAAGCCTTTCCTGTCCATCCATTTGAGAGAAGGGGAGAAATCAAGAGAAATAGGACGGGACGTCTGGAGGATGCAAAGCTGTTCTCTTAGAGACTGTCAAGTGAATGGATAAGGAGATTTGCTTTGTCATTTTGTCAGGAAGCCCAAAGAACAAAGAGAGAGGCTCTGAATGTAAGATGTTACTCTGCTCTGTAATCGACGGGCTAAAGGGGAAGAGCGAGCAGCAGAAAGTCAAAGAGGCATTAAAGAAGGTTCCTAGTAAAAGCTAAAAAGAGAGAGAGATGAAGAGCTCCTGGCTCTGTCTATTATCTGAGAAGAAAGAGTCACAAGAAGGAATAAAAGTCAAGACAAACCAAAAAGAAAGAGAAAGTATGTCTATTTATTCATGAGCCTTCATTTGTGGTGTCATTTTTGTTCTTTATTGAGTGAATATGAAATAATAAAAAAAAACCTTCATTGTTGCTCTTGCAACAATTTGTCCTTTTAGGAAAATGTTTAAGCTACATGCATTCAAATTGACTAAAATCACTTTAACCAACTCCTAAAAGTAAATTATATACATATAAATTGTAAATAAACACACACTAAATAAATAATGTTCTATATTTTATAATATAGAAAATATTATAATGTACAGATCTGTATTTATGGTATCCTTATCATAAACCTATTACATCTACAAAGAATTTAACTTCTCCAGTTTACAGTTTGCTTGATTTTTTCACTGGTTTTGAAAATAATATACATTTTTCAACATACTCTTTTTTAAGAAAACATGAACAAAAATATTACTTTCTTAAAACAGTTATTTGAAATAGTTTGATTATAATTATACTGGGAGATGCCTCTCTCATCAAATGTTAATCTGGCAGGATTATTTTTTTTTATTTTTATGTTAGCAAATTGATGTTGTAATGAATGAGAATGTTAATAACTCTATATATTCCACAATCGTTACCTGACTATTTTAAAGCTTTGCAAATACTGTGTGTAGACAATTCAAATTTTAGTTTAAAACCTATTTCTAAATAGTTTTTTATAGCCTTCTTTCAGTGGATTGTCCATAATTATTATTATTTTTTTTTTTTCTAGAAGCAGAGGTAATTTAAAAGCTGTAAATGATTTGGAGGAAATCTTAACTATTTTTAGTATATTGTCTTGGTGATTGGTACAATAAGTGTAGTTAGCATTACCGGTAATATGTTTATTGAGTCAATATATGAACTCACTAAAATTACAGCCCCACATCACTCAAAGGACAAATTCTTTTTTGCTTCTCTTAGTTTTTATGCTAACGAGATGCAGGCAGGAAAGTTACTGTTATACTTAAATTGTTATTGTATGGCATCAGTAATATCTGCAGGTTGGCTGCAAAGATGTTACGAAGTTAGATCTTTGTTGTTACTTTCCCCTTAGTACTGGAATAAATCTGAACCTGAACAGAGCGGTGCATGAATCTACCAGCTGCGGAGTTTTTCCAGACAATCAGCACAACTTTTCTTCTCTGTCAAATCACACTCATGCATTTCCAAGCTAATTCTTGGAATTAGCTTGGAAATGCTAACTCACAGCTAGCTAACTCACAGCTAACTTGACTCAGAACTGAGTTGTCTGATTGATGCCACTTGTTCTGAAATTGAAAATCCTTGGTATCACAGTAGCCAGTAGGTTTACTCACAGTGTTTGCCTTCTATTCAGCCTGTTTTTTTAAAACAGGACCCTGGTCAATTGACTTTCTGTGGCACATGACTCGTTTTACCAAACAATATCCAGACAGTAAAAGTTCAAATTGCCAAGCAGCCTCTGAAGTCTGGCCCCCTGTTGTAGCTACCTGAATGGACTGCTGACACGCCTCTAGTTTCATTTTAAAAAGCTTCTTCTAACTTTCGTGTTTCCTCTGGCTTCATTTTTTTTAGCAGCTCTTTGATCCCAATACTTTGAGTCTTCTTTCCTCAACAGCGGCTTTGATACAGAGGAGTGTTGTTGTCAGTGCAGCCTGTTAGTGCTTAGGTATGGCTCTCTCTCTCTCTTTCTCTCACTGAAAGAATGTCAGGATTTTATTTTCCAACCAGTCTGTCACCAGTCAGGGCCAATCAAACCGAAACCCCTTTGAGTCTGGCCACCGCCTGATTTCACTGCGCTTAATATTTACGATTAGGCTGCGATTCAGCCCAGCACACACTGAAATTATAAAACATGACTTTTAGATTAACATCGAGGACAAAATATTGAATCAACATGAAATTTTAGAGCAGATAAAACAAACAAAAAAATATGTCATAACAGACAATTGTTTTATTCCTCTATTTTTCCAGTATAATCTAAAGTATTAAGATGTCTTACTGCAGCTTATGACTACTGATGACATTTAGCTTTTGTGTCATTTTATATTACCATTAGAGCATATTGCAGAGGTGTTACTACACACCATTCTAAATAAAGACCCTCACTTAAAATTAAAGTTGCTTTCTGACCAAAAGAAAACTTCACCCTGTGGAAGATCAAAACTGCTGCAGCTTGTGGATTTTACCGCACTTATACACTTGCTCTGTAGTGGAGCTACATAGTATTTTTTGCTGTGTGGCAGGACTATTTGGGACGACCTGGTCTGTCTAAAGCTTTATAGTAACAAGGAAAAGATAGTTTAAGCTGTCTGAGTCTATAGGCCTTTGCTAACTTCAATCCAGTCAGCATTTTTCTCATCAATATTTTACTATCAAGCTACAAAAAAAAAAAAAAAACTCTGTTTAGTTAGCTTTTTAATGAGTTTATAGGAATTCTTATATATTTTTTGAATAACCATAGCTCTTAACTTTCCAGCTGGCAAGATGGATGCACCTCGGTGCAGACGTGTCCCAGGCCTGTCCCAGCTGGTAGTTGGTGAGAAACAGATTACATGTTGGAAACTAAACTCGTGAATCACAGGACTAATGCTGGGAGACAGACAGCGACTCAGGCTCACTTTCTGATCTGCAGTCACCAATTAACTGCGTCACTTATGAGTCTGGACTGTGGGAAGGACCACCTGGAGAAATTCAAACTCTAAAATAGACTCCAGTCAACCAGCTGGGTATACCCTCAATCATCCTGTGCTGAGTGCTACCTTTCAGTCTGTAATGATGACAGGGAAATGTGAAAGACCCCCATCATGAAGCTCTGACCTAAATATGCCTACTTACTTACTCTGCCACTGTGTAAACCACAAATAACTTTCTTATCTATCCCTCTCAGAGTCTTATTTTTTTTTCCCCTTTCCTCCCTCAATTTTTTTTGTAATCTCTCCTCTGGTCAAATAATCACAACCCTTTGCATTACGAACAGAAACCAATTCTTGAGGCCCTTCTCATTAGATCAGTTTTACCCAATTTTTAAAGAGCTCCTGCATTTGAGTTTGAGCGTTGCATCTTTCTATCTTCAACAGACACGCACGCACTCACACACATAAATCCCCTCAAGCTAGACTGGAGCTCTGCGTGTGGCTTAATTTAGTAGGTCTAATTTGTTCTCTCCAGACCTGTCGAACAGATAAGGAGAAGGAGAGGAGGCACACACAAAAAAAAGTGTGAAGGAAGAAGAGTTAGAGGGAGAGAATGAGGAGAAGCAGCACTGGAAGGGGAGAACAGGTGTCTGAGATGCTATCAGGATGTCAGCTAATGACTAAAACAAGCCAAACTGCGAGAGACAAAGAGAAAACCGGCGAGGAAGGCAGTCGTGAGGTACTGGGCTATGTGGAATAAATTGGTGTGGACCTGATAAAACAAAAATCCATACAGGAAACTAAAACAGAAACAGCATATAGAGAGGAGTGAAGGCAAAAATGGAGAAGCAGAAAGAAGCTTAAGATCAGTCCTATCATTAAACTCCAGCTATTCCCATTGGGAAGATTTTCCTTCACTGCTGCTCACTGACCTCCAGCTGGCTGAAAGAAGACTTAAACCCTTTTCTTTTACTAAAAAAAAAAAGACAAAATTGACTGTTTAGAAGTGTTTTTTGTCACAACAAACATGGACAGCTATAATTTGGAAACTGAACGTGTGTCACTCATTTAGTAAGGCAACAATGTTTTAAATTCAGAGTTAGACAAGCTGCAAGCACCATGTCTGGTCAAGCAGCCAAAAGCAGGTTACTAAGTACTAATTACCTCAGTAAATAACCAGCTACAATGCTTTCCTTGGAGCTGCTTTCTATTTTTCTCATAATTGTTCAATATTTGTGGAAGATTGCTCTGGTAACACTCATTTACATGTGATATGTCCCATTTGATCTAGTAGTTTCCCACGCAAGCATTTATTGTGTCACAACAATACATGCATGACATTTCTTTAGCTAAATCTCTTAAGAAAAATACTAAAACTGTTGGGTAGAAGCGTGCAAGTTCAGAAGTGCGATACTAAATCTAAAGGAAAGATTTATTGCTGCATGAGAATATTCTTTAGGTTATAACCTAAGAATAAGCTTCAGCTCAGGCGTAGATGAAACAGCAGAAATGTGGCCAGTGTAATTTATCCTCTAACTTGAATGTCCTTCCAGCTGCTCATGCGTTGTAAAAGCTGATGGGGAAACGCATTCGCTTTCCTCGCTGTCTACCACACGCTTGATTCTCTGCTGTTTGAGTGTCCAATAGTACAAAATGGAGTTGAAAGGGGCAGCTCCCTGATGTCCTTTCCACTAGGCTGCTACTGTAAATAAGAATCCATTCCCTCACCGCCAGTGAATATGCCAAGGTGCATTTTTTTCTTTCAGTGAACCAAAGTATTGAAAGCAAAACTGAAAACAGGACTGTCTGTTTCTCCCAGCAACAGTAATAAATCATATAAGAC